TTCTACGTTATTTAAAGGTAATTTTTATTATAGGCCTATAGACCTTACACAGCGTTATTAATATGATTTTGGAGGTTACAGAACTTTAAAATTACTTTAAAAAATGGAAAATAATTATATCATTTGATTTCAAGATATTTTGTATACCTTAGAAATAATTAATTCTATCCCGGGATCCCGGGAAACAGTTCACTTTTATCCCGGGATCCCGGGACAAGCAAAAGACCGGGAAATGAGAAACCCTATTCGCAGGGTTACCACTCCTTGGTTTTAAAACCCAGATCTGGGTTTTTCGATCTTCTCTTGGTTTCAAGGTTGTTTTTTTTCTAATTTTTGTAAAACATGGGGTTTTTTTTAAATATGACTACATATACAGTAGAGTCTCGATTACCCGACATAAATGGGCAAGCAAAAAGTCGAATAAGCAAAAATGTCATATAATAGGGAAGAATTAAAAAAAAGTTTAGCATCAAACTACGTTATACTTTTAAAATGTAATCACCTAAACATATTTTACAACAAATCAATAGAAAAAAAATCAATACACAGTAATGTTATATAGTCATTTGTACTATGAACATTGGTTCTTTATACCATTTGATTGTTCCATTTTTACATATAATAAATTACACTGAATCTGATGACAGATGATTCTGCGTTTGCCGATAACTCTGGCATCTGCTTCACTGTCATTGACTGATTGCATTCTCAGATGATCTGATTCATAGTCACTGTCAGGAAGAAAAATGTCATTATTGGAGAAATTGTCATTTTTTTCAAAAAGTTCTGAAGATAAATTCTCATAAGCAACGGAATAATGATATAAGTCATTTTGTATTTATTGAAATAACATGTCTGAGACATCTTTTATTTCAATAAATAACTTAAATAATATAAAAAATTTTAGATTTTAGTAACAAAAACGAAAAGCGTGGTACTTTATTTGCTGAATCCTGAATCATGTGGAGTTAAAAACACAGATACACTTAAGCACCTGCTCAAGCTATGAAATCATACCTCGCAATGATTTGCTATTGCAACACAAACAGCAACATATTAACTCCAGCTATTGAATCATCAAAGAACAGGTTGCTTGCTAAACAAGCGATCAGTAGGAAAAATCTTAGTTGTTCACTATATGAATTTGAACCTGAACTAATTAGAGATGCAGTACAAGGAGTTTGCCACCAAAAGTATAACAATGTGCAGTACTGTTAATGGAAAAGAAGAGCAGAGTAGCTGTGAAATAATATTAACTACTGTGTAAATTAGATAATAAAGGGTTTTTTAAATTTGTATTATAGTGTCTGTAATTATAGCAGCATGAATGTACTATGATAAAGTATTTATAATTACATTTTAATCATGAATTTTTCTGGGTAAACAATCTGGGTTTTTTTTCCATCTAGATCCAATTTTTTCATATGTTGCAAGTGGCAACCTGCAAAGGGAAATAGGCTTCCTTGCATGCATTTCACTTGTATTCTGGAAAGTGTACTTGTATTTATGACTACTTGTAATTTATGACTATTGAAAACAAAACTGTATTTCATTTTTATTTTTTTTATTTGTTTTTATAACTGTCTAAAACGTTTTTATAAAGCTTCTAAAATATATGATATATAAATTTAATAAATAAATTGAATATGTAAATTTTCTACAACCTTCCCCCAATTTTTGACACTCACTTGATTAGTAGAGACTCCTGGAAATAAAATAAAAATAGTCACCAAAATAAAATTTTTGTAGAAGTTACCAAAACCTGTTGAATACAATAAAAACAACTGGCTTAGGGATAATCAACTGTTTAATTGATTGTTTTTGAACTGTTGGCTAATCAGTTATTTACAATAGTGCCAAGCACTTAATTCTTGCACATGATTTGCAGACTGCAGCATGATCACAACTTGGCTGGCATTTAACATTGCTAAATAATTAACACACTAAATTTTAGCATTGGATTAACTCTGTGCAGCATGTACAGTACCACAGACAGTTATCAAAATCAAGAGAAATGTTTTGCCCATTTAAAACTGGGAAAGAATATTAACTATAGTAAAGTTCAGATTGTGCCTTCTGATTTCCAGATCTCTGGTCCGTCAGAAAAAAACTTGTTATGACTCCTTGAACTCAGTTTAAGTTCATTTATTTGACAACTATTTACTAAATGTACAGCAAATGCTTGCTTGCTTCTCACAACACAGTCTTAGGCCAGGCTTGTTTCTCCTGGTTCCAACAGTTGCATTGCCTTATATCTAAGTTTAGATCCATTGGCCAACCAATCCAAATCTGAGTCAGTAGCTCTCCTTCAGGTCTGCCTCATACCTTTCTCAACTTGTCCAGGATGACTCAGGCTAACCAACCTTTTCCAGAAAATATGTTCAACAAGTGAAACTTGAAAATGTTAATTCTGCATTGATTATAAATGGATAATATGGATGCCTGGATGGCAAGAAATACAGAATAGTTTCAACAAATTTAAGAAGCAGATTACATTAACAGAAGGTGAAATTCCTTATTCAATCAATGGACATTATCTTGTCCTTACTCAATAGACCTCCTTGACAACTATTATTGGGCCAATATGGTAATTTATTCTTTAGGTATGCTTTTAAATTTAATTAATCATTTTTCATGTAAATTGTTTTTACTTCTTCGTTTTTAATTAAAGCTCTACAATTCTACATATTTGAAGTGATTTTAATTAAGAAAAATAATTTCTTAATATTTATTTAATTAGCAATATTTAAATGATTAAGCCTGATTATTAGAAATAATTTTTCTCCAGGCTTATCAATATTGGGAACAAAAATATGGAAAAGAAAAACTTCTTCCTGGACTTGAAAAATTTGATTCAAAGAAATTATTCTTTTTATCTTTTGCAAATGTAAGCAATTATTAAAATATTTTTTAAAATAAATATTTCTTTTATCTGTTACTTTATAAATTCAAAAAAATCACCAAAATTATATTTAAGTATTACCATTTCTGTTCTTTACATTTTTTATGTTATAAGAAATATCATTTCATTTTTCAAACAATTCAGTCTTTTTGTTTTTAAAGACCTGGTGCGCTGTTTATTCTACTGAAAGTCTTCAAAACCAAAATAGGTTTGATGTACATTCCTTACCAAAATACAGGTAAAGTAATATTTTTATTTTTCCTGTAATTTTTTTAAAAATTGAAATATAGGAAGATATTGAAGAAAAATTAATAATCAAAGAAATATTTTCTGAATATTCCTATTTGGGAAAGACATAAATTCTGTATAGAGAATTCTTATAGTTTTAAATATAGGAACTGTTCTACTTTCAGCACCGGGGTGAAATCAACGTTACACAATCTGGGAACCTGTTATCGGCGCTCGACGCGTATATATTGTATATCGCTTGACAAACGTTTTCGAGCGATCTGTTCACTCTTCTTCAGGTCAACTGAAAAATTCCCCGGACGGAGTGTATACTATTCGTTGGGATCAGGTGTCGGTTCCGAGGGGGTGGGTCGTTTGTGGCATGCGCAGTTGTGTGGGGGGGGCGGGTTGACGTCTAACAGTGATTGCCAGGCCAGAGACAGAGTTAGCTCTTCCTTCCGGTTAACGCAGGTGGTTAGCCGGCCGGCATTGTAGATAGCTGCGGCCTCCAGCCACCTGAGATGCTGTCGGTGGGGCGTGTTGATGATAATAGTAGCCTTCTCGAATTGTGCTTCGATTTCTGGATCTGACGCATATGTGGTCAGGGCTGTGGTTAGTCTCCCGTGACGGATATCCGCTTGGTGTTCACGCAGGCGGGTGTACCGGGAACATTTGGTCGAGCCAATGTATAGTAGATCTGCGTTCTGTCTGTTGTCTCGGAGTGGGATAGAGTACATTTCGGGGAGTCTGGTGCGATCGGGAGGGTCTTTATCGTTCCGTAGGATACGGAAAATTGTGGGGCATCTTCTGTATGCTAATCGTATCCCGTGCTCTCTGGCTATCTTCATATGCACAGTCTTGAAGTGCAGATTGAATGTGATGGGGGCCCGCATTGGGCTATCCTGCTGTGGGTAGGCGATATTTCTTGCAGTTAGGCCGTGTTTCTGGCATTGGTATTGTTCAACCAAATGGTGTGTCAAGTTTGGGAACCCGTGCTCGGTCGCTATCCTCCTGATGCGGGCTAATTCGTTTGTCAGGGCTTGCTTGGTGGATGAGTGTGAAAACGCCCTCTCCACCAGAACCCTAAAGGCGGCTGCCTTGTACAGGAACGGGTCACAAGAATCGGCTGGTATGTACGTTGGGGTGGATGAGGGCTTGTGGTATATGGCTGTGTGGATGGTGGGTCCTAATATTTTTATTGCAATGTCGAGGAAATGGACTTCTTCTGTACTAGCCTGCTCCAGTTCAACGGTTAGACCGAAAGGGTTGTTGTTGACGGTTCTTACGAAAGATGTCATGTCAGCCTAACCACAGCAGGATAGCCCAACGCGGGTCCCCATCACATTCAACCCGCACCTCAAGATGCATATGAAGATAGCCAGAGAGCACGGGATACAATTAGCATACAGAAGATGCCCCACAATTTTCCATATCTTATGGAACGATAAAGACCCTCCCGATCGCACCAGACTCCCCGGAATCTACTCTATCTTGCTCCGAGACAACAGACAGAACGCAGATCTACTATACATCGGCTCGACCAAACATTCCCTGTACACCCGCCTGCTTGAACACCAAGCGGATATCCGACATGGGAGACTAACCACAGCCCTGACCACATATGCGTCAGATCCCGAAATCGAAGCTCAATTCGAGAAGGCTACTATTATCATCAACATGCCCCACCGACAGCATCTCAGGTGGCTGGAGGCTGCGGCTATCTATCTACAACACCGGCCGTCTAACCACCTGCGTTAACCAGAAGGAAGAGCTAACCCTGTCTCTGGCCTGGCAATCACTGTTAGACGCCAACCCGCCCCCACCACACAACCGTGCATGCCAGAAATGAACCACCCCCTCGGAACAAACACCTGATCCCAACGAATAATATACACTCCGTCTGGGGAATTTTTCAGTTGACCTGAAGAAGAGCGAACAGATCGCTCGAAAACATTTGTCAAGCGATATACAATATATACGCGTCAAGCGCCGATAACAGGTTCCCAGATTGTGTAACGTTGATTTTATAGTTTTAGTAATCTGATCCATAAAAGATTAGTTTACAAACTTCCAAGTGAAAAATAGTTGCAGTGGGATGTTTTGCTAAATAGGGCTGATAAGAGAGACTGGGCCCTGGTTTAACATTCTCCTAGATTCTTTTTCTTCATATAGAAATAATTTTCTATTAAAATATTCTTAAAGTTTATCAAAATTATGAAATTTATAAAGATTACAACTTTTTTTTCTTATAGACTTTTTGAATCTTCAATTTCAGATAATTTGTATCTTCTTGCTTGTTCATTTTCCTTTCCTCTGTCCTAGTGCTAAATGTCACTATACTGTATACCAGAAATTCCCAAAGAGAGAATCAAAAAAGTTTGGGAACCACTGCTGTAAACTGTAAATGGCTGTAAATTAACTATATTTAATAGTTAATTTAACTATTATTAATAGTTTCGTCTTAATTCATGAATACTAATAGAAAGATATATAGCATACATGTTTTCTTGAATTTTCTTTTTATTAGATACTATTTCAAAGGAGATTTTAATATTCCTTCTTGTTTACGTCAACCTTTTTTCAATAGTTATTCTTAGATTAAAAAGTAACTACTACTACATCTCTATTTGGCTTGATTAGCTTCTCTCTTTTCTAAACTCAATTGATAAACATTTCCAATCAATTTAAAATTCAACAAATTATTACAATTATTCAGAAATGTAGAATATGTCCAATGTGTAAACAAAGTTAGGGGGAAATTAAATAAAGCATTTGTGGTAGAAAAATAATAATAATAATATGGCAACAACTGCATCTTGACTGAGCCTATAGATGTTAACTGGGAAAATTTGTTAAAATAGGATCTTGTATTTTAAAAGTGAAATTGGAATGTTTTTTGTTTTGTTTCTGATCAACTCAATCAATCATTACATTATTGCCTACTTACACAGTTGTGTGCTTGAGTAAGTAGGCAGTGATATGATGATTGTCTAAGTAGGTAGTGTGGTTCTATTAACTGAGACTAATCTCCTTTACTAAAAAGTAAGGATGAGTTGGTCTCAGTTTATGGAACCATAACTTTGATTTTTATTAAAAAAAAAAACAAAAAAAAACAAAACTGAAACAGAGCATTGAAAACAACCCTAAAAGAAAGTCCGTTTTTATTTCAAAACTCTTTTTGATAATATTTGATGGGTGAATTTCCATGTCTGTCTGAATTAAAATGAAATATTCACTCATTCCCTGGACAGGAAACTTGCAAATTAATTTAATGAACTAAATTTAAAAATTTTTTTCTGAATTGTTTTAATTAAATAGCTAAATAGAAGTTTTAGAAAAACAAAAAACTTATCTTTTTGCAAAAAATTGGTACAAATTGTCCAATTTTTTTAACAGTTGATAATTGCCCAAATTTTTTTCAAAGAAGTTTTTTGTCATTGTTGTTAATAAATTTTGTATTTGGATGTCAAAAAGTCTGTTAATTAATGTCCTGTGCTAAAAATTGGTCATTTGTAGTATCAACTTCAATTTAATTTCTATTGTGGTATGTTCATCCCATATTTGGATATTTATTGTGTTGTTCTCACCCTATGTTTTATATTGCCTCATTCATATATATTGCTGGAGGAAATAACAGTCTTGTTTCAATGGGTGTTCATCTGGATAAGTTTAACTGGGCCATCTTCAGGATGCACCTTAATTGGTAGAAAGGAAAATGTAATGATTACGAAGGTATAAAAAGTAAGAGAACTGGTTTGGCAGCCATTTATTCCCTTGTTGGGCTTTGTCTCATTGAGCTTAACCACGAGCAGGCAGAGGAGATTATCAAAGAATGAATAGTGAGCACATGCAGGAAAAGAACAAAAGACTCTTTATCCCAAGAATCGAAAAACTCAAAGGTATATGTATACATATATGAAGGGAACAAGTTCTCTTAAGAACAGTACTTAGGAAATTGCTCCGTAATGGTAGAAAAGGGTTGACTGAAACCATGGTGCATTCAATGAGTTATATACGTGTAAAACATTGTACAGACTGAAAGGACTGGATGTGATTACTACTATATCTGTTAACCCATGAGGGAGGAATAGTGAATATAGATCATGATATTGTCGGTTTTACATTCCCTTATGAAGCAGGATAAGTTTGTTACATGATATATAATTCCCATTTAACTGCTCTTGTGCTGAGGAAATTTACACTATTAATCAATGTATTACTTAAAGTCTATAGTTATATGTGTTATCTTATGATGATGGCACATGCTTAAATTAAAGTGTTTTTTTAACTTAAAAATTTTTACATTAATTTATCAGTTTAATGTTGCTTGGAAAATTATTTGGTAGTCCTATTTAATTATTTGTATGATTTAATTTGAGTTTTCCAAACTTCATAGCAATAATTATTAATTAGTTTATAAATTATTTTTTTATTTTGTGTGTAATAATTTTCAGGGAAATTTTGGATCCTGAAAATATTCTGCACCCACTGCAATTACTCTTCTTTCTTTTTCATTTTTTAAATAATAATAATTTTTCAAAAACATATGCTGACAGAGTTATAATTACATTATTTGACTGTTTTCCATTGTAATCTGTGTGTTTCAATTTTTTTTTTCTTTTTTTTACTGTTTTTTAAATGAATATTTAGCACTTGATTTTAGAATGTTAAAACTTATTGTCAAATTCATGATGAAATTTTAGTTTGATTTTGCTAATATTTAACTTATTTTTATATATCCAAATATTTCTACAGATCATCAAAACTTCAAAACACATTAGAACCATTAAATGTGTAAAATTTCCATTCAAAAGAAAACATGTTTTTCTTCTTGTAATTTTTACCTGTAATTCACAGGTTATCTTAAAAAACTATCTGACTTTGATGGTATGGATCTTGGGCATCTGCAGAAAATTTTCCAGGGCAAGGGCTAAGCTTGGAAAGAGATAATTATATCAATAAATTTTTATTTAATTATTTAATTGTTGGGGTTTTGTAAGATAAATAAATCATTCCATAGTTGAGAGTGTAAGTATACATCTTAATCACTTTTACAACTATAATTTGGGAAATTTTTTATTTTACTTGATTCCAGGGAAAGTCAAGTCTATAATCCTTACCATAGGCATCTACAGAGGAGGCAAAGGGTGCCCCATTTGCCCACTCTGCAGATGCCTATGGTAAGGATTATAGACTTTTGCATATTATGACAATTTTTCATATCAAAAAATGGTTCTAAAATAATTTTACTTTTATGTGTTAAGTTCTCTCTTTAAGAGAACTTAAAATGTAATGGAGTGTCTTCTTGTTATTGGGTGAGATATAGACAGACCTACTCACTTCTGTTTGTAAATGGAATATACTGTTGTTTAAATATCTTCCAAATAGCTTCCAAAAACATCACTAAGCTGATTCAGTGTTTTATGTGTAGATTAGCTGTTTTATTTGTTATTGATTATCTAAAGCAGAGAGGACAAACTTATGACCCAAGGTTCATTGTTTTCGAGATATCTGTATTAAATGTTACAAATTTTGCAGTTTTAAAATTTATCAAATATTTTTTTATATCTAGTGTGGAAAGATACTAAAACTGCTGTTAAATTACCCAACTTCACTGCCTGTAACCGGCATTCTTCTTCTCCAATATAGAGGACTTTGCAAACGTTTTCGAACCTAATGTGGTTCTTCTTCAGGCACTATGGAATTTCCTATATGAATTCGAATTTCCAGAATTAACTGTTGTTTTGGAAAATTATTTGGAAAAGTCTTAAAAGTCTGCTGTTAAAAGTCTTAAAGACCACTAATTATGAACTTTGGATAGAAAAATTGTATCAAATAATCAGCAGCAGATTTCCTGTCCATTAAACAAAATATTTGGTTTCATTATGAACATATTGCAGTAAAATCTCAATTTAATGGACTAATTCAGGTGAGAGGGTATCCATTAAAGCCAAAAAGTTTGTTATATTATAAAGTAGGTTTTCCAAATGCATGTTTAAAAAATTTACAGATTAGTTAGTTTATCTGTTTTTGATGTAGATATGCTTGTATAATTAAAATTAAATATGTATGAGAAGTTTAATTTCACAGAAAAATTTTCTATATATATGATTGCTTATGTGCTCACTGTAATTCTGAGACTAGTAAATGAGTACATGATCTAAATCAAAATAAACAAACAATTTTTTGGTTTTATTTGTTTAGTTTAATATAATTAATGTCTTTAAGAGAAATCACTCTTTGATTTCAAAAAACAAAATAACTGTTAATTTAATTACATATAAAAAGCATTTTAAAATTAACAGTATGTTAATTTTCACATATGACATACTTTCCTAGAAAACCTTCCCCCTATAGATTATAGTAGAGATTATTTTGTTATAGTTCTAATTATACATAAATACTCTATTATTTTAAAATTTACAGCACTTTGACTATCTATAGGTGGGACATATATGTATATCCTGACAGAAAAATTAAATTATTCATAAACTAAAAATACAATTCAGTTCAAATAAAATTTAATTAAGTAGTAAATGAATTACAAAATACAATTTTCAAAATATTTGCCTTTAGACACAATCAAATTCTGTAAACAGTTGTAAAATTGATTAATAATATGATGTCTGACTACTGCTGAAGTTCCTTTCATTGTGTCTGATTCATAAGTGAAGAATCTGCAGGTTCTCCATTAGAAACACACAAATTTCATCTTTAATTGCTCCCATATTGCAAAGTCTAGGAGGTTTAAATCAAGCCTACATGGAGACCATTCAATACTGCTTTCACCCTTTCCTGGTGTGTCCAGAGCTATCAAGTTGGGACCAAATACTGTGTTTACTGTTTTACATATGTGCAGTAGTATAGACAGAAATTTAACAATTGGTTGCAATTAAAATAATTAAGAAGTATCAAATGTTCTTTGAATAAAACTGCAATATAAAAACATACAAATTGTATTATATATGTTACTGTATTGTATATGATTTGTTTATAACAGTCAAATCTGTTATATAAATAATTATTATTTGAAATCACTGAAAAAATCACACACACGAGTTTGTCATATAAATGTGAAAAGAAAAAAATCATATGTTACTAAATATTCAAAAACTACAAGCTGTATAAATTAAATTTATAGTTATGAGGCAGCCAGTTTTAGTTTTCTTTTACACTTACATATAAGCAACTTTTCAAGCAATGTCCAATTTTTTTTAACAAAAAATTGAACATTACTTGATTAGCAAATTACTAACAAGTATGTGCAAGAGACAATTGCATACTGTATCTGCACCATTGTGTGTGTGTGTGTACAGTTTGCATCACCTATATCTCTATCAAACTCTTAAACACAACTTGTTTCTAACAAACTATTAAAAAATTATAGTATTTTCCCTGACAGGACATGCATATAATCCACTCTAATAGTTTATAAGAATTTTATTATACAGTATTTTAAAATAATAATTTTATTTTCAGAGTTATTGGCACACTTTCAAATATGGAAGAATTTTCTGCAGCATTTAACTGCAAAAAAGGCTCTAAAATGAACCCAGAAAATAAATGTATAATTTGGTGAAATGATTTTTAAGAGTTTTGTTAGACTATATGGGATTGTGAATGCAAATAAGCTATTTGCATTTGGATTTGAAGAATCAGATGGAAAAATATACAGCGTGAGTTAAAAGCCCTAACACCATTTTCTTTCCAAAAGTACTGAAAATGTATTTTTTTTGTTGACCTTAAAAGTGCTTTTACAAGTAAAAAATAAAAGGTCCCATCCAATTCTCCATAATGACTTCTGATGTAGTTACATTTTAACAAAATTAAAAGTCATATTCAATTCTCCATAAATGATGTCTGATGTAACTACACCAACAAAATTAATGTATCTTCAGTACTTTTGAAATGTGAAAGGTATAAGGGACTTTTGACTTGCCTTTATAAAATTTACTATATTTTTAAAAAGGATATTAAAAGATGTTTAATATATAATAAATGATAGTATTTATTGTAAATTTTATAAGAATAAATTTTATTGTGTTATATGACTTGTTTTAAAATACTTAAACATTTCCATCATGAAATTAAGTATGCTGAATATATTTGTTTAATTAATATTAATCATAAATATGTAATGATTCAAAAGTAAAATAATCATGATTAATTTTTATTTCTAATCTAGAAATTGCAATTTAAATTATGTAAACAAATATAAGCTGTGTAAACTTCTTCAAAATAATTTAAACTATAAATAAAGTTTAGATTGAACAAATTTTTAATGTCTTTGATTATCTGTAATTTAAATCAGACATTCTGCAATTCTGAGTAAAGATTTTTATTTTTTTCCCTTTATAAATTTTTATTTGTTTTTAAATGATTATTAAATAGTAACTTTTATTTAAACCCGTATTATTTTTAATAAATTTGCAACTGTTTTTACTAATGATCAAAGGAGATGTGAATAAATTTGTATAAACACATCTAAAAACTTAATTTCATTTTTTTTAAGTGTTCTAAGAAATTTTTTTACCAAAATTAATTTAATAAATTAAATTCAATCCCTGTTCTTATACTCAGTGGGTTAAGGATTATTTTTTAAAATATTTTTGTTGGAAATTTCTCAAAGAAACCTGAACCTTATAAATCTTTAGTTGTTGATTTTCTAATAATAAATGAGTAGTGTTGTAACGAATAGTATATTCGGCCAAGAGCGTGGCCGAATAGCCGAATATTCGGCCAAACTATTCGGCTCGATTAACGCACGTACGAAAATTGGCGCGCAAGCCGCATTATGGCAAGGATCCTACTCTCCATTGGCCCGCTGTCACTACGCTTCGCCAATCGTGTTAATTCTTGGCAGTTGTAGCAGACAGACAACAGTGTCATGGAAGTATGTGGTAAATGATGATATCAAATGTGGATAACAATGAAATGATCCACACGTGTAAGTAATGGAGAAAGAACAGAGAAGGACCGCGAAGTGAAAATGTGAAAATAAATATGAAATTGAGTCGATAACATAATCGAACAAGTCGAGGCAGCTTATTGGCACGAAATTTGCGGCCGTCAATGCCAAACAATTGTTGTCATAGACTTCGGAAAGCTAAATTCTTGTAATGAAAGTCACTTGCGTGCAAGGGCGAAAGCCTTGGGGCCGTTCGGGCTATCAAGCTGTCTCGAATCTGTGAAATCATAACTGTGACTTATATCGACGTCCTATCTGTCTCTTTTCTCCGTTATCACCAGGCTGAGTCACGTAATTGTAAAATGGGAACTCTACGACGGAAAAGTGACGAATCGAAAGTATCGTGAGCGCGTATTATGATGTATGCACAGGCATACATGGATTAGAGCGATAGAGGGAAGAGCAAAGACGAGCGCTTAAAAAGAAGGATAGGCAGGATCAGACCCTCAGATGTGCGAGGATTCTCCAACGATATACGTGTACGTGTGCTGATCTTTGTAATTATAAATTGTGAATACATGTGACTAATATTATTTTCTTTTTTATTTTGTGCATGTTATAAGTTATAAATAAATATAAACAAACAACACTAACTC